TTATACACGAAGCCACTTTTATGTATGGTTTTGTAGCACAACATAACTCCACTGACAGCAGAACATCCTCCAGTAGAGGCAAGTTACAACATAAATTTTGAACAAGCAGCAACAAGACCAGAATGGTATGTTAGTTGGCTGAGGAATGAATTTTCATGAAGTATTCATATTAACTCACAAGGGAAGGAGAGAATAAAGATATTTATTCAGAGAAAATATCTGGCACAATTAACACATCATCCTAGCAAATTCTGCAACTAAGATCATATAAAATGTATCAAATTGCCTTCTGTTTTGAGCCAGCTTGAGGTCAAGCGCAAACACAAGACTTCTGTATCACAACTTCACATTCCTCTTTCTTTACACTGCAAACTTATCATTTTAATAGGACAAATGAATGACAGTTGCATATTTTAACAGAATCGCTTGCATTTAAAGCTACTCTTATCGTTTCTAAATTTTTGAACTGTACATTATATTTCACACAGATATGGAATGTCATTGATTTTACCTATCCTTTCATCATATACTTGCAAGAAAACTGCAGGACCATAGAACCAGGTGTTAGAAATGATAAACTATCATTCTTCCAGTTTGTAGTTCAGGAAGATGACAGATCACACTATTTATGGCATTTAAAGATACATGTTTAACACGAATCACATGTAATTTATTTTTGCTTCGAGAAGGACATGAAGACCCACTTCACAGAATTCACAAGTTCACCACATTTACATTCAAACAGAAATATAAAAACTGATTTTAAAACCTGTTGATAGAAAGCCACCCTTCTCAGGCTATGAGAAATACTGTAGGTGTACACTATACTACTTCTGTTAGGTGTGAATAAACGAATATAGGAACCCAGTGCTGGAGATCTACATAGAACACATTTACACTGTTGGAATTAATGCAGTTTGACACCACTTTAACTAACATGGCTCAAAGCTATAGAATCATAGGAATTGTAGTTTTAGCAGATTTTCAGCCTGTTCTGCTAAAGACTGGTGGTACCTCACCAAATTATAAATCTTAGGGTTACATTTTATTGAGACATGGCAATTACAGTTGTGTCAAACTGCATTAATTCTACAGTGTGGATGCACCCATGGGTGCTACGGACACCAGTCATTAGTAATACTGAAAGGCAAAATTATTTTGGCACACTAAATCCATCATAAAGTGGAAAATTTGCCATTGTATCCAAATGCTAGGGATTTCACAGGGCCATTCCACCCAGAGAGACACTAGAACAGTGGTTGTCAACCTGTGGGACCCCAGGTGTTTTGGCCTACAAGTCCCAGAAATCCCAGCCAGTTTACCAGCTGTTAGGATTTCTGGTGATTGAAGGCCAAAACATATGGGGACCCATACGCTGAGAAATACTTCCGTAGAGGTGATCAGAAGGTGCCTCTAATGTACTTCAACTGCCATGGCTCAAAGCTATGGAATCAGAGGAGCTGTATGTGGGGTTGCCCTTGAAGACTGTTCGGAAGCTTCAATTGATCCAATGGGCTGCAACCAGGTTGATCACCAGAGCGATGTACAGAGAGTGGACATCCCTCTTGTTGTGCCAGCTCCACTGGCTGCCAGTCTGCTACAGAGCACAATTCATGGTGCTGCCTTTAGCCTATAAATCCCTAAATGGTTCCACCCCAGCTTACCTGTCCAAACATATCTCCCCCTATGAACCACCTCGGAGATTAAGATAGTCTGGGAAGGCCCTGCTCTCGGTCCCGCCTTTCTTGCAAGCGTGACTGGTGGGAGTGAGAGACAGGGCCTTCTCCATGGTGGCCCCTTGGCTATGGAACTCCCTCTCCAGCAACATTATATCAGTCCCCTCCCTTCAAGCCCTCAGAAGGAAAGTAAAAACTTGCATTTGGGATCAGGCTTTCAGAGAATAGTGCAGTGCAATAACAGATTTGGAATATGTGCAATGACTACAGAACATATTTGGACTACGATTATGGATTGCTTGATTTTATATTGAATATAATGTTTTAAATGCTTAATATGTATTAATTTTGATATAACTTTAATGTTACTGGAATTGAATAATTGCCTTTATGTAAGCCGCCTTGAGTCCCCTTTGGGATAGAGAAAGGTGGGGGTATAAATAGGGTAAATAAATAAATACCCTATATACTTGAGTATAAGCATAGTTTTTCAGCCCTTTTTTTAGGCTGAAAAAGCCCCCCTTGGCTTATACTTGAGTCAAAATTATTTATTATTTTACTCTGTTATTATTATTTTATTACAATTATGGTTTTACTCTATTATTTTTATTACATTTCCATTACTTTGCTCTATTGATACTTTATTATGATTTTACTCTAGTTACATTTATGATTTTACTCTATTATTACTGTTATTATTCCATTTCCATTATTTTACTCTCTTTATTATTATTGGAAGGATACATAAGCACAATTGCATTGATGAAGGTTAGAATAATGGTTTAACCAGAGTTGGACAGTTTTACCTTAAATTACAGTTTTAGGTAAATATTCAAATACATTTAACCTACTGATGTCTCAATTAATGTAATTTTATTGGTATTTATTTTTATTTTGAAATTTACCAGTAGCGGCTGCATTTCCCACTCTCAGCTTATACTCAAGTCAATATGTTTCCCAGTTTTTTGTGGTAAAATTAGGTGCCTTGGCTTATATTTGGGTCGGCTTATTATTTATTTCATACATTTATATCCCATCCTTGTCATCCCTGGAGGGGGACTCAGGGCGACCTCACAACAGGCAGCCATTAGATACCCGAACAATGACAATTCCAGTAACAGTTTACATTTAAACAAATAGTTAAAATATCAGATATAAAAACATCTAATTAAAATCATGCAAGTTCAAGTCACAATCCAGGTCTGCCCATTATCAGTCATGTAAATCATTCTCATTATTATCGCTGCATCTGCTGCTCGAATGCTTGGTCCCACAACCATGTTTAAGTTTTTCCTTAAGGATAGGAGGGAGGGGGGCGATCTGATTTCACTAGGGAGGACATTCCATAGCCAGGGGCCACCACTGAGAAGGCCCGGTCTCTTGTCCCATCAGCCACACTTGCGAGGGTGGTGGAATTGAGAGCAGGGCCTCCCCCGACGATCTTAATATCCGAGGTGGGTCGTAGAGGGAAATATGTTTGGACAAGTGAGCTGGGCAGGAACCGTTTATACTCAAGTATATACATAGTTTTACAGCAGTGGTTCTCAACGTGTGGGTCCCCAGGTGTTTTGGCCTCGATTGATGATTCCTGATAGATGGCTCCTAACCATGACCTGAACTCAGTTCGTATATTTGATTACTATATTTTTAAGCTAAGCTGTAATGATAGATTCTGTTATAATTGCTCTATTCCTATTCTACTATTTGTTCTATCCACCTTTTTGACCAACCTATCCTTTAACTTGTTTTGCATATTGATCCTCTCCCCCCCCCCCCCAAAATGAGATTAGAGGTATCTATTCCCTGCCACGCGTTGCTGTGGCCCAATCTGTGTATATGTATTTTGTGTGTGTGTGTATATATATGTGTGTGTGTGTGTTTTTGCATGTGTAATGTATTTTTATGGCTTTTTAACCTCCTTCTGATGTGTTTTTATGAGTGATGGTCACTCCTTGGCCTGATAGGTGTGTTGTGTCCAAATTTCGTGCCAATTTATCCAGTAGATTTTGAGTTATGTTGATCCTACAAACGAACATTACATTTTTATTTATATAGATAGATGATATTGTTTTTATGCTGTTTTATATTTTATTGTTCTGTTTTTAACTGTATGTTGTCTGGCCATGGCCCCATGTAAGCCGTCCCGAGTCCCTTCGGGGAGATGGAGGCGGGGTAGAAAAATAAAGCTGTTATTATTATCATCATCATCACCACTCCCAGAAACCCCAGTCAGTTTACCAGCATCAGTGGACCCACAGGTTGAGAACCACTGTTTTACAGGGTATTTACCTTTTTCTGCCAAACCCCAAGCTGAATCAATTCTACAGTGGAGATGCACCCTTTGTCTGCCCCAGTGTCACAGTTCGCTGTTACAAAGGATGGGAACACTGCCAGTCTTCCCAAGGCATAGATTCCCAAACTCTGGTTCTCGAACCACTGGGCAATTCTGGGCCCATCTCCACTGTGGCTGTAAGGCAGTTTTCTACCACCTAAGCTACCATGCACTAACTCTGGTGTAGCCCAGCATTTAATTACAAAGGCGATGAGTTTAGGCGGGAGGTTGGCAGGCTGGTGGTGTTCGGTTACAGTCCAGGATCTCAGCTTGCCCCGAGAGGCCTCCAGGAAGGCGAAGGGCCCCAGTTGCTGCCCTCTGGGGGGACTCTTGAGGGAGAGGCCTGGTGGCCCTTCTCCTGTGGGAGCGAGCGCCCGCCCACCCAAGGGGCTTCAAGAGGCCCCCATTCCCTCGCTCCCTGAGGCCGGCCTCCTTGGGCCCTTCTGCCCGGCAGCCCTCGGGCCCCAGCCACTCGCCGCCTCAGCCATCGCTGCTCGCCCAGCCCTAGCCCGCGCGCGGCCTCCTGACTGGCCACTCGGCCCCGCCAATCCCGGCTCTGGGGCCGGCGCTCGGGGGCTCCATATTGGCTGCTCGCACTCACCGTGCCTTGCTCCCCCGGTTCGGGTCCCGCTCTGATTGGCTCCGCCGCCGGTCCCCGAAACCCAATCAGCGCCTCCACTCAGCCGCCGCGCAAAATGGCGCCCAACCCCTCGACGCCCAACAAAAAGAAAAAAGGACTCCCTCCCCCCGCCTCCCTCCTCCTCCCTCTCCCCCAGGCGCAGGCGCAGTACGCAGGGAAGAAGCTCCTCCTGGCCAGAGCCTCGCGCTGGTTTGAAAGCCCCACGCGCACGCGCCGGAGCCGTTAGGAACCGCCGCGTTGCGCGCTCGCACAGCGGGGACAGCCTCTGTTCTCTTGGAAGCCTCCTCGCGCTTCGTTACTACGCATGTGCAAGGCAGGGTCTCTCTCTCTCTCTCTCTCTCTCTCTCTCTCTCTCTCTCTCTGTATGTCTGTGTGTCATGAGAACCGGCGGCCCCCTCTGCTCTTCGGCTGAGAATACTCTACTATGTGGGGTGATACCAAAGAGTCCGGTGCCTAGATGGGCACACGTAGGGGCTTCCGTTTTACGAGGAGAACAAGGAGAATGGGTTTCCCCCAAAGAGGGAGAGAGGGAGGAAGAGCGTTCCTGGCTTCTCCCGGGTGCGGATTGGGAGGAGGAGGAGGAGGGGGAGTGGGCGCCATTTTCTCCAGCGTCGTGAAGCTCGCGTGGGCTCCATGAAAGGGCTGGGAAGCCATCCAGCCGGGCTCGACAGTGAGAAGCTGAAGCGGGACTCGGATCCCCAAGCGCTTGTCCTCCAGGTGTTTTGGACTCCAACTCCCAGAAGCCTCAGCTGCCTTGGACAATGAGCAGGGATTCTGGGAGCAGAAGTCCAAAACGCCTGCAAGGCCAGAGTGTGGGAAACACTTGAGTCTTAGGGTGCCGTTTGACACCACTTTGACTACCAGGGCTCAATGTGAAACCATAGGAGTTGTACCTGGACAAAGGGCGCATCTACACTAACATTTATATGCACATTCATTACCATGGCTCAAATTCTTGCTAGGTTTTCTTTTCTTGTACCAAACTGCAGTACAAGTCTCAAGATTCCGTGGCCATTAAAGAACTGCATGATTTCTTCAGTGTAGACACTCTAGGCATGGGCAAACTTAAGCCCTCTGAGTGTTTTGGACTTCAACTCTCACGTTTCCTAACTGCCTCATGCCCTTTCATGTTGGAGATAGCAACCTTCTCAAGCCTCCTCTATTTAATGTTTTGTCTGTTTATAATGTGCTGTTGATATCCTGAACTGCATGTCTCCTTTGGTTTGAAGTTTTCGTAGCTCTATATACTTGAGGCAGTGGGAGGGGCTGCAGACCATGTGACTGGTTCAGTGACTGTTGAGAATGCAGTTTGAAAGGATGACAGTTGAGGAATAACAGTTGAGGCTTGAGTCAGTTTGAGTACAAAGTCAGGGTAGGAAGTTGGAAAACTATTGAGGCTTGAGTCCCTTTTGAGACTGTTATAAAAGAGAGCAATATTGTTTTGAAGAGACTGATAAAGACTATAAATTAAAAGATACAAACTGAAACGTTTTTAAAGTTTAACCTGATGTGCCTATATATTTAAATACATTAAATTGTGAGTAAAACATGTTTCTTTAAAGAAGTCCACTTGAATCTTTGTCTGCTGAGAACATCAAATAGAAACAAGATGCCCATCCATTACCCAATAAACTAAAGGTACAATTCTGAAACTCTGCTGCCCAATAGGTTATGATCCTAAGAGGGTAAAAGTATGATAGCTGGGACCCAGTGCTGGTAGCGCTATGCTGGTTGCGTAGCACGGTGCTGAATTAGAGAAGGGAACATATGCGTGAGACAGCGCAGCGAGTGAGAGACGCAGCTGTGGCAGGATGCTAGTGAAGTAATGTAATGCAGGTGGGACAGGATAACAGTGAAGTAATGTAAGAGTGACTGGATTTGATTCATTTTTCACCACTGCTTGTATTTTCCTCCTCCTTTTTATCCTTCCTTCCAATGCAACAACATTTTTGAACGTGTTTGCATATGATCTCTGGATAGCCTACATCAGTATGCTGCCCCCCCCCTCTTCTACCGAACTACCTTGTTGGCTGTTGTAGCTGTGTCTCTCACTGTGTGCGGTCTCTCACACACGTGGTGCTGTGTCTGGTGCACGTGTTCCCTTCTCTATTCAGAGCCGTGTTATGCAACCAGCATAGCACTACCAGCACTGGGTCCCAGCTATCATACTTTCACCCCTAATAGGTCATAATCCCCAATAGGTCATGATCCTAACAGGTCATAATCCATATCCCAATATTTCAGCCTCAGCTTAAGTAGCTATGGGGGAAAGGAAGGGACCTGCAGCTGTTAGAAATTGTGGGAGTGTAAAAACGCCCGGAGAGCCAAAGTTTGCCCTTGCCTGGTGTAGATAAACCCTTCCGATGCCCCAGTGACACAGTCATTATAAGGGATGGAAGCAAACTATACTCATGATTTCTGTATTTGAAAGTAAGAATAAAGATTTGTTAAACAAAAGCTCAAATTACTCATGTTAAATGCAGTAAGATTAGAAATAGTCAGAACCTGGCAAAGCCTAGAGAAAGTCAAAGGTCCTGCAGGAAGGTGGATAGAGAATTTACCAATAAAGAATTGGTTAAACAGGATGTGAGCTATAAGCCCTATTGAAAAAGTTTGCCGATTAATTATGATCGGCAAAAGGAAAAGTGAAAGGAGATCTGTTTGGTAACAGGGAAGCCATTTATTAGCTACATTTGTAAAAGCAATGGCAAATTCAATCCACCAAATGACCAAGAAAAATTGTGGATGAACAATTAGAAAAATATATCACAACAGTTTTATGTAATTGATGAAATTAGAATAAATAGAAGTAATAGAACTGGCAGAACTGTATTTTTATAATACCACTTTTGCAAGGCCTTTTCCTTGAGGAATGGATGGTGAAAACTATGCAGTTGGAGTTCCATCCTGAATCTGTAGACCCAATTCTCCATCTGTTAGAACAGTGTTTTTCAATCGGTGCTTCTCCAAATGTTTTGGGCTTCAGCTCCCAGAAATCCTAGCCAGCTTACCAGCTGTTAGGAATTGTGGGAGCTGAAGTCCAAAATATCTGTAGCACAACAGTTTGAGAAACACTGTGTTAGAGCTTCATGCTGAAAAAAGGAACAGGACATAGCCTGAGATCTCCACTTAGAAGCAAAGACATCAGTTCTGCTAGCTCAGAACAATAAACTTAGGAGGGATGAATCACTGAGCATAGGAAGTGGGGCTGATAGTAGAAGCAAGAAAAGGCAACAAATATGCTTTCTGCTTTGGAACACAGAGTTTGTAGGGTGATGCCTGGATCTATCCAATTCCCCTTCAGTTTCTGGTTCTGCAGTGGGACACCGAAAAGGTTTTTTATCTAGGGAAAAGAAGGTCTAGATTTCACTGCAGCAATCCTGGGGAAATATTGTTAACATTCAGTGTCAGCCTCTTTTAGCAACTGGATGTGAAGCTGAGGAATCAACAGCATTCCTTGGACCAAGAGGTACACATTCAGGAATGGCTAGAGAAACATTTTTTTTCTTGCTTGTTATAATTGTTGAGGCACAATTCGATGCCTCAACAATTATAACAAGCAAAAACAATCAATAAATTCTGTTAAAAACAATAGCATTTGATATAAAAATATAAAAACCGCACAAAGCCTTAAAACATCGTGAGCATCGTGAAATATGATCATCTTCCACTTAGCATGCACAAGTGGTTGGGCCCTAAAGAAAAGCAGTATTGGGTTTTGAAGCCATCCGTAGCTTGTTATCTAGACAAAACTTCATATCTGAAAAATGTAGTTACTCATAGTGGAGTTTAGCAGGCACCCTTCTCATGCTTTTATCCCAGAATGTTATTTGTATAGGGACTCTTTAACAACATGTTTGTGGTTTGTTAAATAAAAAGAAGTAAACAAACACATATTCTGTTTTTCAAGATTGCCATAGTGTTCTGATCATATTCATTTTTATTGAGCAGCTATATTTCCCTTCACTGATCTAATTTATTTTGCTTTTTCTTAAATATGAATACTAGATTTTGTTCTAGTCTTGCAACTGAAGAAATCCTGAAAAGGTCTTCCACATTATCATGGCTAGCATCAGTCCTGAAAAAGAAGAAAGGGTATGTAGTGGAGTTTCTTTATGTGCTGTAATTCTGTTTCACTAGTGTGTTGATTGTTGTTTTATCTGTCATATCAGAAATCTAGTTTGTACCAGTGGTGTAGGAAGATTTAATTTGAGCCGTTTACTTTCTGGAGAGAATTCATACATTAAAAATGTCATAGAAATCTGTTGAATTGATTTTTTTCACCACTGCACATTGCACTAAATAATACATGTTAAACTCTGAAATAAATTTAAATAACCTGTCTTTTTTTGGTTGGACTTCATATTCTTGGAAAAGTTTGATTACCAACAAATAATAGCATAGTTGAGATCTCCTTTACTACTACATACCTTTTTTTTCTGAATTTAAGGTTATTTGTCCAGGGAGTTGGGAGTTTGAAGTAGACTTTTGCAACAACATCTATGTTGTTTCCCTTCCACTTAATTTTTACTGAGATTCTCTCAGCCTATCTTCCACAATTTAAGTCCTGGTCCTTTTCACAGGTGTAAATATCCTTGGCATATAATGCCCACTTGTCCTTCTTTCTTTTTTGATCTATTGGTCAGAAATAGATTATTCCTCTCTAGTCTACATTCCAAAAATGAGACTTGTCCCACCAAGTTTCAGTGATACTTATTATATCATATTTGCTGTGTTAAGGGTATAAGTTCATCTTGTTTATTTACCATGCATTAGTGTAGAGGCATCTAAGACCATGGGCCATTCCTTCTAGATATATAAGGGTTTTTTTCCCTCCCACTGTTTAATTCTTGTACAGTTTGCCCTATTCTTTGTAACAACCAGAGTATTCTCCAGCACTTGATGAACTCCTTCCCTCAAGAATACTATCTTCCTCTTCCCTCTGTTTATAATCCTCCTTATTAGGTTTGTGACACTCTTGGCAGAAATGCTCCTGCCAATTGCTGTGAGGTGCAATCTACTTACTTTTTTTTACTGCAGACCATGGTCCAAGAAGTCTACCCTTTCCTGGTGGCACAGTTTGCAGAGCCAGTTCACCTCCACTATTCTCTCCCTTTATGCTCTTGAACAGGGAGGAAAGATGAAATGACAAAATCTTTCAGCTTTCTACCTAGAAGCCTAATATCCTCTGACTTCATGGATTCCCCCCCCCCCCCCCCAAGAAACAGCATACCTCTCGAGACATCCTTTCAGGCTGTCAAAACACCGTTTCTATTCTTATTAGAAAGTTCCTTACCACCACCAAGTATGTCCTATGAAATTTGGTAGGAGCCATTTCATGTGCTGAATCTTCCAATATCATTTGCACATTTTCTGAAGAGTGACACTCCTGCTCTTGTTTCTATTCCATGTCATCACTGATGCTAGAGATAGCTTTGAATCAATTCTCTATCTCCAAATTCACAGAATGACTCCTGGCCTTTCTACATGTCACAAATGTTTGTCTCCTATATTGAGAAACTGATCTCCTCCTTAGAAAGATCACGTAAAACATCATGCTCCCTAATATGCTGAAGAGTAGATACACAGGTTTCAAGCTGCTGGACCTTGTCTTCCAACAAGGCCAACAACTTGTGTTTGCTGCACTCCTGCTCCTGCAAAAATACAAACATACCACAGCTCTTGCAGGTGATTGCAGTAGCTTCCTGCCATCTGTATTCAATAGTTTTAAGAAGACACATAAACAGAACTCCAGACCTTCTTCTCAGAACTGTTGGTTTTGCCTGTTGGCTTAGCCCCAGGGACTATATTAGTTTTATATTTCATATATTAGTTTTACATTTCATTTTAAGGAAGAAATCACTGGTTGAGACTGTGGAACACTATAGCAGTGAATATTCAAATACAATGGTTCTCAATCTTTGGTCTTCCGGGTGTTTTGGACTTCAGCTCTCACAATTCCTAAGAGCTGGTGAACTGGTTGAGATGTCTGTGAGTTGAAATCCAAAACACCTGGAGGACCAAAGGTTGAGAACCACGAATCTAATATATTGTTCTAACACATATACTTACACCCTCATTCATTTTTTAAAAAATCAGATTGTGTACAGACAGGGAGACCTGTTTTCCTGTCCAGAAACAGATGCCTTGGCTCACTGTATCAGTGAGGACTGCCATATGAGTGCTGGCATAGCTGCGGTTTTTAAGAAGAAATTTGGTGGTGTTCAGGAGCTTTTGAACCAACGTAAGTGACATAGTCAAACTAGTGCAATTCATGAAGTTTTATTTTAAAAGAATGTGTATTATATGATTTTCAAATTTTCTAACCCCTTTTTAATGTGCCTAAATATAGCTTTAATAGAATGAGATTTTTGGGTTATGTCATCTTAGAAAATTCTTAAAATATTATTATCTGTCCTAATGTTGAAATGTTAAAATGGAAGATATTGCTGATTCTTCTGTTAGTAAAGGCTACATTTCCAATCCTGCAGAGAAATATGCCCATTTTATATTAGTCAGCTTTTTGCAAGGCTAGATATAATTTTGGTGCTTCTTGGATTTCAAATGATATGAATTATTATTAATATTATTATTATGCTTATTTATACCCTACTTTATCTCTCCTGAAGGAGACTCAAAGTGGCTTACATTGAAGGTATGACTGCACAATTTGAAATATACAAATATGCAAACATTAAAACAGAATTAAACATAACAGTATGAAAAAGTCACAGTTAAAAACTATTAAGACATATTCAAAGGTAAAAACCGCAACATCCCCTGATTTACAAATGGGTTTGTGACCTAGATAGATCCCCATTTTTGAGTTGTTGCAGTTTTACATATTGCATTTGTACCTCTGTGTGCAGTTTGCACCTCTGTTGCCTTCATATGTTCTTAACTTAGAACTGCAAGATAGCAGCACCCTCCCCCCCAGTACTTCAATTGGTAATTACAGTATATGTATCAAAAGTGACTCCAGGACCTGTGTTATTCAGAAAATGTATTTAAATAGTGTGATGCAAGAACTATACATTAGATTTAACTAACCATACTCTGTATCTGTGACTTCAAAGGATTCAACTGATGGAGCTGGAATCCATCAGTATCCTGTAAGTTTCAGGTTTTATTTTTTAATTAATGTGTGTGTTTTGTGAAATGCATGTTGCACTTAAATTAGCCTTTTAATATATACTCCTTCAGCTAACTCAGTAATAACATTGTCCATTGACTAACATTAAAATTAGAAAAAAGTGGCTTGCTGGTCTATATTTGAGGTAATATGTTTTTCTGAATGAATTCAATAATAATTGTATGTAGTTGTTTTTTATCCCTGAAATTGGTAGTCACTTGTCTACTCAAGACCATGTATAAGAACATTTAAAACTGCTTTCTACTTCTTAGTTCTGAAAATTATTCCTGATGTCATCGGTTTTTTAATCTTCTACAGGTTTGGGGGCTAAATTATTGCATGTATATGCATATTTTGAGAGGTATGCCTTATAAATGGATAAGAACAGTTACATTAGTCCATAAATTAGAAGTAGTCATCATACACAAAGGAGAAAATGTGATAAGCACATAAACAGTTTTCAGGCACCATGGCAACTTGTAATGTTCTTGAATGGAGTACAGTAGTCCATATAGCATAGTCAGATTGTTGTGTTTGATCCAGTGTATAATATTCCAGATATTAAAGTTCCCATGCTATACTAAAAAGGCTTAACTGGGTCTTCTTCTTCATATTCCCTACTTCCAAACCATAAGGAAAAGAAAAGGGATTTTACTGTAACTGCCTCTTTAAATATGGCTTATAATTCTAGAGTGGATCACTCCTCCAGATTTTGGAAAGTATATGTTTCTTGAGTGCTTCAAAACATCAACAATTCATTTAAAAGAGGTTTAACTCTGTCTTAGAAAAGAAGACTGGAGACGTGGCTGTTCTGAAAAGAGATAACCGATATGTGTACTATCTGGTAGGTGTGAGACATATTATTTATGAATGACAAATGAAACCTTACCTTCATGCATTCATCCTGTAAGTTGCATTGACATATGTAATTCAGGATTGCTGTCATAGTGAGGCTGGAGTGGTGCATTTCTAATATCTCTTAAGCTTTGAGTAGAGGACACTCTGGGATTTTTAACAGTGCAGTTTCCATTTTTTGTTGACATTAGCATGTTTAGAAGTATATTGTTTCCAGATTTCAACCTAAGTATTCAAATCATTTTATATTATACCATGTAGGAATATGCTCATGTAGCAATTAGCTCAATCTACAGTTGTATGGTCATATGATCCCACTTCGGGTAGTATAATGGCCCTTGGTAGGAATTGCTGTAGATACCAAAATCTGTGAATGCTCTAGTCCCATTATGTACAAAGATGTAATAACATGGTGTTGCTTATATGAAATGCCAAATCAAGGTTTGCTTTTCAGATTTTTTTTCAGGGGGGGGGGGTGTAATCTAGTGTAATCTAGGAGTTTTAACAACAAATTCATATTAATGAGTAGTCAAACCTCAGTAGAACTTCAATCCATCAGTGGGACCTACTCCTGATGTAAAGCTGAATTCCTTTAGATTTACTTTTGATTAAATGTGTAATTTGGAATACAGAGTAATTGACTTAAAAAGCAGGTAACACTCAATGTAATTTTACACTTTCTTTCAGATTACCAAAAATAAATATTTTCATAAACCTACCTATGATAATCTGCAAAAGAGTTTGGAAGCAATGAAACTCCATTGTGTTGAAAATGGTGTAACTCGTATTTCTATGCCTAAGTAAGCTATTATTATTATTATTATTATTATATTTTTAAATGGCAATATATACACGAGTGTGCACATGTACCGTAATTAACTGCAGAGCTTGAAATGATAAATTTATTGCTGGAGCTGAAATGTGATTAAAAGCATGCAATTACATGGGCACTGGATGTATTTGCCATTATTATCTATGATTTCTCTTATTCATGTTGTTCTTATTTGATGTGTATGTGACTGACACAAGTGACTCATTTCTGTTCTCGTATAGCTTCTAAAACTCTTGCAGCATTTTGGTGGAAGCCCCTCTCCCCTGCAACACACATTTCTAGCACATTTTAGACCTTTCTCCTCAGTTCTGATTGTGCTGCAGCTTAAACCACAGTGTAGCCTTGGAGAATGATACACAGTAGGGAAGGGGAAGGAATTGTGTGAGGCACAGATGACCATTCCTGCATAGATCGCAGACTGCACATCAGATGATTAAGCAAACCATGATATGACAGGCATTGATTCCTGGTTGTCAGTTCTAGTGTATCTGTGTTGAAAGGACATTTGTAAGGCTTACATTTAGAGACCTTTGGAAACTTTTAAACAGAGGCTGGATGGCCATCTGTTGGGTTGCTTTGATTGTACTTTTCCTGTATGGTACGGGGTTAGACTGGATGTCCTGCGTTGACTTTTCCAACAATCTGATTCTATGATTGTGGGATCAAAGTTATAATAGTATTTATTAGGAAGTAAGTATTATATATGAGGTACATTTCATAGTAATTATTGAAGTTTTGAGGATATGTTTGTATAATGAATAGGGAGATGTGAGTGTGTAAATGTACATGTGTGGTGCTATTTCCGTAACCGCATTTTCACCTAACTCACAGAAAATTCAATTTACCCTATATCCTCATGTATAAGTCTAGATATTTTAGTCAAAAAATCAACCCAAAAAAACTGAGTCAACTTATTCTCAGGTCAGTGTGAATTCTATATTTCAACTCTTATCAAGAAGCAAACTATCACCTTTTCTGAGTAGAGTGGCAAAGGGCAAGAGCTTAGTCCTCTCTCTGCTCTCTCCATTGTGGTACTTCTGGGCTTTTTAATGCAAGGGGCCAATAAGTAGTGGTGATGGCCAGAGATGGCTGTCCCCCTGAGGTGGCATTGTTGCTTTCCCCTCTCTATAGAATGACCCTTGACTTATCCATATGAAAATCCATAATTTTGGCCCCCAAATCTGCCCTCGGCTTAGACATGAGCATGTATGGATATATTTACTTTGACATTGCCTTTGTATTTGAGTACATCTCAAACAAAAATGACCAATGATTCTTTATTTTCCAGGATTGGCTGTGGACTTGACCGCCTGGATTGGGAGAAAGTTTCAACAATGCTTGAAGAAGTATTTGAGGGTACAGAAGTTTATATTACAGTTTATACTCTTTAATTCTTGCAATAATTGTCTTACTGTCTTGATTGCTACACTGTGTACCTACAATTGATTTGGAAGAATCTGGTGGTATGATTTTAATGCCATCATTATTCTATAATTGCAGACATTTCTTACTTTTCAGTTAGGTTTTCGGGCACACTCTTATTTTTTTAAAATGTATTGCAATGGTTTGCTATTTTGTCTTATATCCTCGAGTTAAGCCCCTAAAGTGTTACACTTTAGTGGTCAGTTGTTACAGATGTATATGTTCCATTAAAAACAATAAATTTGTATTAGTTAAATAACCACAAGTGTTTTATTTTGTTTCTTATCCATTTGCAATGGCACTGTCAGTCACTGGACAAATGCTAGGTCCTTTATGCATAGCCAGTTCCATTTCTGAAATTGAATTCTTGGAAAGTTCTGTTAAAGCCACATGTAAGAAAATCATAAAGAAATCATACCTACACAACACAATTAAATATATGGATTTTCCCCCCAAATCTTCCAAAATTTGATCTTATCCTCTCCAGTATTTGATCTTATAATATGTCATCAGTGTTTTCCAGATAGGTTCTGTCTGCATAATACATACTTGAAAATGACACATGAATATATCAATAATATCCAGTTATCTTATTTCCATGAATAACTATATTCTGCCCCCCTGGGGATCTAGGATCAGGAGAACAGAAATGTTAAAAAACAAACTATATCTCATGTTCACTATTGGAACAGCTTTTGTCAAGAGTATTCCACCCCCAAATCGGCTTCAGAAGATTTGGGGATCTTGTAGAGCAGTAGTTCTAAATCTGTGGGTCCCCAGGTGTTTTGGACTACAACTCCCAGAGCTTTCAGTCTGTTTTCCAGCTGTTTGGATTTGTGGAAATTGTAAGCGTAAACATTTGGGGACCCACAGGTTGAAAACCACTGTTGTAGAGCATGTGTTTGAGGGAAGAGTTTTGTAAGAAGTAACTGCAAAAGGTTGTTTTCATGTACATTTCCTAAAAGGAACTCATGAGAAAGCAAATCCCCTTTCCCATCCCCAAATAGGGAGTCACGCATATTATACCTATTTGTTAAAACCTTAGCAGAAATCAGGTTTCATTCTTTCAGAGGAGGCTGCTATTTGATATACTTCAGAGGCAGAGGAGATTTTATAGTTCATTGATTTCCTAGAGAAGAGGAGGCAGTATCTTCTACCATTTTCTAAAGTGAAATTCTTATTTGGAACAAAGGTGAACCTGCAATATCTGTAGTAGGCAGAGCTAACCAGGGTGACTTTTGAACTGCAGATTTGATGGTTATGCAGGCACATACTAAATGGGTTGCCTTGAATGCAGTAAACAGATTGATATTACAGAAACTGGTACTGATCACATTTTTTCTCATAATGGCTTATGTACCTGTTTGGAAGATGGGTAGAAAATATAAATGGGAAAATTCCTCTGAAATATACCTTAGGTTTTATTTTTTACTATTTTCAGAAAAATGTTTCCTGGAGGTTACTTTGGTAAAGGTATTTTGTTGTTTTTTAATTTTATTTTCAACCATAAGGTTGTTTCTGGTAGAACCAATTTTGAGCTCTTTTTGATGCATTTGCTGTGACACAATTAATCTTCATACTATCCTATGGATACTAATTATGCATTATGAAAAGAAAGTAACACTTTTTATACTTGATTTTCTTTTGTCTTGAAAATCTCATAAAAAAATAAATATTGGCAAAATTTGTTTAATTTGCAGCATTATTTTGTAGGGATCTTTTTAATACATCTTGATTTGTTTCTCTAAATTATGCAATGATAAAAGGGCCTTGCACTGCAGCTCTTTAACTTCATTTCACCTTATAAACAATTTTTCATTCCATACAAACAGCAGTAGTGCTGGTTTATGTGTTTCCAACAACCAAATGCCTACATGCAGCACAGTAAATGTATTTTTAGTCTATCAGCACAGCGGCATGTCAACCAGAGACTTGTGATAGTGTTTTTTTTCAGTTTCAGATTGGCTCTGGAAGACTGACTGGGAAGTCCCAGATGTCAAAGTATATCATGCTTGTCTCCACAGTTTGGGCAGATTTCTCCTGGGGAGAGAAAGGGACACTTCAGTTAATGATTCACTTTTTAAAATGTCTGGAGTTTTGTGACTCAGAATAATCAATTTCTTATCAGTTTTTGCGTATTGTGAATGGACAAAATTATACAAAGCCGCTTTATTTAGAAGGGAGGCAGAGATGAAGATTAGACGTTTTCCCTTGTCTTCATTCTTAATACTAAAACATATTCATGTGGAAATAAAGAGAATTTCTTTTGTGTTTGTACAACTCTTCTAGACGTTCCTCAGACTTTTATAATCAGGCTGTGGGGCTGTAGTTTTTAAATTGTTGAAGTTTCAGATGAAGTTTGTAGTGATTCCATGGTTTAGTTCATAAACTTAAAAACATTGTGGGGTGAAAAATAGCTCCCCTCTTTATTTTATTGCCTGATATAAATTGATGAGAGTAGGAGCACTAACTTTGTCCTGCAGGAAAGGCAGTACTTCTTGAAGTAAACATCTAGAACCTGTAACTTGTAAATTGTAATACAGAATATATTAAATAATATAACTTAGAATATGGGCTCTGTGTGCAGAGTTCTAAATTTCTGGTGGTATTTCTTAGCCTGTTTCAGGAGGGTCATACCAGTGCCCCCCATATGGTGTTAGGCTATAGACAGCCCCAAACAGCATGACCAGATGGTGACAAGCTATTGGTTATATAGTCACAACCAAATTAAAGGCTATCCTTGTTGAAGATAATTCTGAGTTAAATGGACCAGTGTCCCAGCTTGGTGTGAGGCGGTTCCTATGCTTTTCTGCTACTTACACTGACATTACCTTAAAACATTGATTCCATATGCTGGAGCAATAGTGTTTCCACATGTTAACAGGAAGTTTGTGGTATTAGTGCTATAAGGAACATTTATGAAGGCATTTGTTTTGCCTATTATTTATGAGGCAGGTCATAGTATGATTCTTCTGAAATGGGGTGGTGGGAATATGTGTCTTCTCATTTTTGCCCATCTTAAAGTTTGGTTTCTAAGATTAGGCAAAACCAAAATGCAGAGGTGGCCTACAGAGTGAGAGCTAGAGTGACTGTTTCAAGAAGTTCATTATAATTAGAATTAATTGCATTCTTTTGATGGGGCTTTTGGTCAAAATAATTTGTCCAGCCTTGATTACTATATGCCTTAACTTGCAGGCTGGATCATAGTTTGTTGTTTAAACTCTGCAGAATATCTTTTGGCTCACCCTTCCAAACTGTATTAACGTAGTCTGAGAAACCACCTTAAAAAAGGGAAATGTTAAAAAGTAGAAATAGAATTCCCAGATGTCATATACTTACATGAATCTCAATGCAAAATCTCAGCTAGTTTTTCATCATAATACTGGAAGTTCTCTTGAATGTCGTCCCAGGGAGCAAATGCCTTTGGTTCCTCCCCTTCCTCCTGCTCTACAAAATTCTTCCAGATGTATTCAAAGTCTTGAGGCTTCATGATCCTCAGTTTGCAGCCGGCTGCTTTCATTTGCTTCAGGGCCGCTTGGATGTCAGGCTCCTCCCACATGAAGAGACGGCCCACTGCAATGGAGAGACGCAGGTGCCTGTTCTTCTTCAGAGCCTTTACTATCCGTTCGGCACAGCTCACACAGGGACTAGAAGAGACGTACCAAGTGACCTCATAGCGATACCCAGGCTCACAGGTGGGCAGGATGGTATTGAAGAATCCCTCTTCTGCATGGGCTGCTGCATGTTCATCTTCCAGATAGCCCCGTAAGGTTTTTGACTCCTTGCCTTGCATCTCAATGATGTAGCACAGGAAGGTTTTGTTCCTGCCCGAGCTGTACTCTACATTCTTGAACTGGAATTTGAAAAAGAAGGCTGGAAGACGTTCCCTGGGGAAGAGACAAAGTCATTATTTATATCTACACAGTCTATAATGCATATCTTTATTCAGCAAGGCATACTGATCTGAACACATCTGATCATAATTGTTTTCAGAAGTTCAACAGGGCCACTATTGGAGTGGGAAACAAATTTTCTGGCAGAACTAGGGAAATATTATTGGCTGAAACCCTTGAGAGCCATTACTGGTCAATGTACAGTATCTTTCTTTTTTCTTTTTGCATTAACATAGTTTCTCAATATTGCTTTGTGTGGTACGCAAACAAAATTAAAAAGACTTGGGCAATAGCTAAATGTTAATTCTGTATGTAGAAACCACCATACCATTTCAAGTTACCTGGAAGTTTAGGGTAGAAATTGGTGAAAATAACAGGCTTGTGCTTGGAATTAGAGCAAGAGTAACTACTTCGCAAGTTATGAAATTAAGCTGCAAAAGAAAATGACTGTACAACCTTCCAGTTGTGGTATTCCCTCCCCTTAGATGTCCAACTGGTACCAGAGCTGGGGTCATTCTGACCGTGAGAGGAAACATGGTTCTTAACCAAAGTTGTTGGAAACTTAAGTGTACAAAAATTTTTGTAATATGCTGTAGGTCTGATTATGTCACTTTAAAATGTTATGAACTGTTTAAATTGATTTTATGTTACATTGCCCTGAGTTCCTTGGATACAAAGTAGCATATAAATAGTTCAATAAATAATCACTGTTTTATTTCCAACTAAAGTAGCTGTCCAGGTTGGTGCTCATACTTGCTGGGGAGATAGGAATTGTAGTTCAGTACATCAGGAAGACATCAGACCAGGACAAACTGTTCTAGTGGGTTTGTTTGCAAGAGCTGTTGTTGGGTTGCTGGTACAACCAAATAGAACTACAATCTGCATTCATTCCCAAGCCGTTACTATTTTTTTTATTTCTTCTGAAATGTCAATAGTATTAAAATATTACAAGGTTTAAAATATTACAAGGTTGAATGTGTTTTGGTTTGGCTATTTTTCCTGGATTTTTGCCATTGGAAGTCTCTGTGATACTCTGGTAAATTTACACAATTGTACCTGTTCAACCATATCCATTTAACATATTTCCCCCATCTAATATGGTGTTGTTACACAGAAAGTGATGAGTAATGAAATGAAGACTGCCTACATAAGCTTAGTCACAATGTAATTAGATTTTCTGCCTTCAAGATATATATCTAGGATAAGAACATTATGTGTGGTCTTAGATTCCTAAAGCTGCCAAGTAACATGTTGTACCTCTTGATAGATGTGTGCATTCAATCAAGTAGAAACTAAAAGTGTGTCTTTAGGTTAATCCTTCACTAGTACTTTGTGTTGATTTCTGAACATATTTCCAGATAAAGCTCTAAGAAACTAAATTTGTCCATAAAGATTTGCAGTTAAAATTCAACAAGACTTGTAATGAATTTTCACCCATATGCTTCTATTTTTATTTTACAAAAGAGTAGTCTTGGGCAAATTGCATAGAAAATCTTAATACTGAATACGTATTGTCAAGAAAACCCTATGATAAGATCTCAGAAATTGAAGTTGATTTGGAGGCACATAATAACAACAAATGACAAGATGAATCCTTTTGAATGTATTCTCATCAGCTCACTTGATATTCAGATGGGTATCTTCTTCCATTTCTATTACAGCTCATTAATTACAGCCATTCACTTCTTCATTCCAACTCACACAAGATAGCACTTAATCCCAATACATACTTTCTTTGCCCTTAGGAATAAGAATCTTCTTTGACCTTTCTGTAGCTCGGGTACAGATTCTGCTTGAGTCATAGATGAGTCAAAGTTTGGAAACCTGCCTCATAGTTGGAATTTACATTACACTGCAAAAGCTATTCATTCTGCAAGTTTATTAAACTAAGGAGTGAATTTCATACAGGAGCATTACTGCAATTATATTTAATTTTCTCTGCAGCTATACATCAACTTGTTATATGATAGCAATTATTTTGTAGTTCTTTGGGATGTGTGTCATCAGTTGCATTTGGTATTTTTAGTCAGTTTATAACTTTATATTTTGCAAAAAAAAAAAAGGTCCTCAAATTGACTAGCAACAATACTATTAAAGAATACATACAGTTAAAACATAAACCGGGGGGGGGGGGGGGGGGGGGCGGCAGATTTGAAAAACCACAGCAACCAATTTCAAGTAAAGCCCAATTAGATGCCAAAGATCTATCTGAATAAAATGGTTTTTCCTTGTTGTGGGAGGACAATAATATGGGAGTGGGCACCAAAATGCCTTCTCATGTCTTCATGACCCTACTGTTGACTAAGCCCCCCTCGATGGACTGTCACCTTGTCGTGGTGAGGGGGCTTGCGCGTTCCGATGAACCTGTAGGCACAACAACTGGAGTCGTGCACTCCCAGGAGTGGCCGCGGGGGAGGTTCCAGACCAAGCACAGTCTGAAGACCCAAAGACCTCAACGGCAGAGCAGGCGGAGGATAACATGGTACATGTTACAATGGCTGTGAAGGTGGAAGAAGGCTGCAACAGATTGAGAAGCCACGTTCATTGTGTTAAACTACACCACCAATGGAACCTCACTCTGTGAAGACTGTGTGTTGATCAGTTGTGCACTGACTTCCACACATTAAAAAAAATCATGCACAGACATCTTCCAAGGAAAATAAAAACCAACCAACCAAAGTCCCATGGCGATCAGCGAGTGGCGACGGGGCAGGACTGTGAAATCTGGAAGCCCCTAGTCACAGACTGGCACATGGGCGGTGGGTACGGACTCAGTCGTTCTACCTCAAGGTCCGAGGCAGTTGAGTAGTTCGGCAGCTGTATCCGCGACTGAGCAGCCCTATTGAGGACCCACTCTGCTCACCCCACATGGGGAGGGGGCTAGAAAAGGTGCCCTAAACATAGTCTGCCTCACTTATCCCTGACTGGACTGCCGCGTCCAGTGGGGTCACCACCCTGCGGCCAAAAAAGGAAAATGAACTTCGGTACGTGGAACGTACGGACTCTGATGGACAACAGTGGCAGTGAACGCCCCGAACGCAGAACTGCCATCATTG